TCGCTGCCGTAAAGTAAGACAGAACGGACTGCCGCGCAGTATACTCGTCCTTTTATTGATAGACGGATATCTCGCCTCCGCCAAAGGTGACGTAAGTTGGCAAAAGCCAAACGAGCTTTTCGAATCCGTGCTGAGATTTCGTCCGATACCAACCCATTAGGGCTGATCAGACTTCCAAGATAAGTGAAGTTGTCGACGCGTTCGACTACTTCACTCCCTATCCTTAGTTCAGGTGTTGACGCAGACCAGTCCTGAAGCAACAACTTGCATTTAAAGAGAGAGAAGCGCATCCAAAACATTCTGGCATTGTTGCTTAGTGCTACCAGAAGACTCTGCATTTTGTCAGCGTCTTCACCAAACAGGACTATGTCATCTGCGTATTCTAAGTCGATAAGTGGACCTCCTGGAAGGAGATCAATACACGAGAATTCAGTCGACGAGAGTGTTATTTCCATCAATAGGTCTATGATGAAGTTAAACAAAAATGGAGAAAGCGGACAGCCTTGACGGACACCACTTGAGGTTGCAAAAGTAGATGACAGTTCGCCATAAGCTCTGACTCGACTGGTAGTGTTCGAGTAAAGAGCCTTCACAAGGTTTATGTACTTCTGAGGTACGCCTTTCAATGACAGACACTGCCACAGAGTCTCGCGGTCTACAGAATCAAATGCTGCTTTTAAGTCAAGAAAGACCACCATCGTCGGACGCCGATAGGTATGCCTGTGTTCTAGAACCTGACGAATGGTGAATATGTGGTCGATGCAGCCACGACCAGGTCTAAAGCCAGCTTGGTTCTCTCGAGTTTGTAGTTCACGAGTCTTAGTTAGGCGTTTGATAATTATCGAGGCCAGTATTTTAGATACTATGTTTGTTAAAATAATCCCTCTGTGGTTGTCACAGGATGATTTTGACCCTTTCTTATATATTGGGACGATAAGTGATTGCGACCAGTCAGATGGGATAAAGTCTAATTCCCAGATCTTAGCTAAAATATTAGTCAACCTAATCGCTAAAATTGGACCACCATCTTTAAAGACCTCTGGAGCCAATCCATCTGGACCAGCTGCCCTTCCTCGTTTCAGATTAACTATAGCCTTTTGAACTTCAGCAAGAGTTGGGGGACCTACTTCAATGTTCCATTCACACTGTCTGGGAATAGAGGGTAGTTGTAGAGTAGCTGAAAGCCAGCTGAACTGTTCTCTAAAATGTTCCGCCCATCGTTCTAAACGCCTGGACTGGGAGCAGATGAGAGTATCATCTTTTTTCGAAATAATCTCACTTACACTTGACTTATTAATTCCAGTTTCTTTTATTAGTCTGTAAAGCTGTCTTGTGTTCCCTATAGTCGCCGCCTTTTCCATCTCTTTTGCTTTCGTTACCCACCACTGCTCACGGTCGTTCCTTAGACTTTTTCTTAACCTAGATCTGATTTGTTTTCGCTCTTCATCATGTTCAGAACCTGATGGGACGAGTTTACGAGAATCCATCAGTGTGACAGACCTTGAAGAAATCCACTGGTTCCTTGCAACTCTGTGGTTTAAGTCACTAATAGATGTCACTGCTGTTTCCACAGCTGATTGTATGCCCTTCCAAGCAACATCTGGGTCAGCCTCGTCTTCACAACTACCTAAGTGTGACCTCAGTTGTTCCTGGAACCTACTTTTGATTTTCTCGTTACTCAACTCAGTTCTGACGGGTCTTTTTAATGTGGCTTTTTTGCGTCCAGTGAGGTGCAAGCAGATGCGTGCCCGTATTAGGGCATGGTCGGAGTCCAAGCAGGTGCTCCAGAATGAGCGACAATCTTCTACCGACCCTCTCCAACGATGACTGATGGCAATATGGTCTATTTGAGTCCATCGTTGGTTTGGTGTAGGGGGTCGCCATGTTAGACGATGTCTTTCCTTATGCTTAAAATTTGTGTTTGCTAAAAATAAACGATTGTCTGAGCATAGCTGCAGCAGACGATCACCATTATCTGTTCGCTGTGTCGGAACACTGAAATATCCACCTAAATGCCTTTCTGTTTGGTTTAAGCTACCTATCTGAGCATTAAAATCACCTGCTACGAGTACTATGTCTGAGCGTTTAGCTTTCTGAAGAAGTTCGGACAACTTTCTGTAAAATTCATCTTTCACTTCATCTGAGCTGCAGTCAGTGGGAGCGTAGGCAGAAACGACAAAAAGGCAACGACGTGTGTCCCTATCCTTCCGAGTTCTTACGTAGCCGTTCAGCCGAACGGCACATAAACGACTGTTGACGGGGATCCACTCTAGCAGTGTTTGTTCCGCCCTCATGCTTAGTGCTATGCCTACACCTGCCAGTCCACGAGAACTTGCCATCGGGTCACCAGATACACGAAGGGTGTATCTTGTTGGCTCTCCGTTTTGCCGAGGTGAGGTCAAGTGAATAACCACACCGGAACCCTGTATGCGTGTTTCGGAGACACAGCATACATCAATGGAAAGAGACTCTAGGGTTTTAGCCAAGGAAGCCTGCTGACCGATTTGACATAGGGTGCGTACGTTGAAGGCTCCAATGTGTAGTTTGGAGCGAGGTTTCAGTAGACCTGGGACAGTGTTTTGCGCACTAGAATCGTTGGCTATGGTGACACTTGAGGTGGAAGCCGAGAGAGGAAATTTAAAGTTGAAAGTCGATGTAGGAGGAATAATAGGAATTGAAGAGGGAGGTTGATTATGAATACAGTGGTCTTGGGTGCTGTTAGAGGTATGAGGGCGGTTATCACTTCCCGGTTGCCCACACCGTGGAAGGGTTCTTCTGGAGGTACCTGAAAAGGAAATTGGATTAAAGGTGGTCTTAGTGACCTGAGAGCGTGACCGCAGTGCCCAAGGGACAACTGCTTGAGGCCGGTCGCGCACGGCCTTTTCGTAGGAGGTTTTTTGACGTGTTAGCTCCGTTCTTCAAAGGGCCTTACCGCCGGAGACGGAAATCCGTGAGGTAAGGTGAGGTGTGCATTTTTAGGGTCGACCTTTTCTAACCCCACCCCTCCTTGTGGGAAGGCAGCATCGCTGTCATGCTGGTTGTCTGAAGGAAACACCTTACTGCTGTCACACCTCTGTACAGTCAGCAGTACGACTTCGCCTTCGGACCTTGGGTTTGTTGCTTTTAGTCTTACCGCTCTTCAACCGACCTGTCTGACATGGTAGGACCTTGAGGAACGGTTGTTCCAGCCAGTATAGCTCGGTTGCTTCATCACGATAGGCAAGCCCGACCACCACGTCAAGGTAGCAACAACGGTCGGCTAATAATTAGTCGCACTATTACACCTACTCTTAACCTTCAGTTAAACTCCTCTTTGCACATTTTATTGCATCGATTCACTCCTTTCTTCCTACTAGTATTGACTGCACTTAATCCTTCTGATTATCATGAAGATAAGAATTACTTCGACTCATTCATTTGGCTTATCTAATTTTATTGTGTTGATTTAATATGTCAAAATTTACCAACTCACGTTTGTGCAAGGTCTTAGGTCGTTTCTGTTAAACGCTTTTGGATAAAGTAAATTTGACCTATTTAAAGGTTAATAAATGTCAAAACTACACAAGATATGCTCTGTAGATATGAATGTAAAGTATATTTAAAATTGTATATGAATTGTTTCTACTTTGCAATATAAGTAGTCATCCTTGGATGACCATGGATCCATGGCCATTTTTTAAGACAGGTCAGTTAGATGACTGATGTTAACTAGTTTCGTGCTAGTTGTTGTATCCATAGTCTTGATTGATTTATTATCCAGAGTGATTAGGTTTCGAATTGTGTTCACATCATTATTATTATTACTCTTATTATTATCCTTATCTCCTCTTACTCCATTTCCAGTCTAGTTGACCTTTTACTTTCATATATAAATGCTCTTAACAAGTATATGTGTTATCAGATTGTTCGAAATGTATTGCGCAAATATATCATATAGTTCTGATAATCTTCGTCTTCTTATTACATTATCTGACTTTGATGTTGGCTTGTAGGTAGTCGTTTTGAGTTCCATACATTCTTCAACTGTAGGGATACGGCCCTTATTTGCCAATCCTTATCATTATGTCTGCATCGGATCCTTCTTGTATAGTGATGAGTTCCATTCAATTGATTGTTCAACGATGATCCGTAATATCGCGATTTTATCTGTGCACAACCGATCCTTACGGAATTCGGTCTGTTGATCCCAAAGCTGAACGTCCACTGAATTTTTTGACCTGCTCAGCAACACTGCTAGAAACTTTTCCCGGTACCGATTGTAGTGTAATGCCTCTATAGTTCTCATACTTGCTCAAATCTCCTTTCTTTGGCATCTTGATGAGATATTCGTCTTTCCACTCTGTCATCATATGTTCCTCCTCCCAAATCTTCCTGAATAGAACGTGGAGCATGTTTGCAGTAACTTGTATGTCTGGCTTTATTGCTTCAGCTGGTATATTTTCAGGTCCTACTGCTTTCCCACTCTTGATTTGTCTGATGGCCTGCATCCTGATTTCTTCGATGGTTGGTGCAGTGACATTCATAGGAAGGTTTGTAGATGCTACTTCGATGTCTGATGGATTCAGTAGAGCTGGTCAATTCCTAAATCTCAGTGATTGTCTTGCCTTCTTTGTCCTGAAATGATCTCTCTCGTTTACTATACTTTCCTGCTAGCTTCTTCGTTGTGTCATACAGTTGTCTCATATTCCCTTCTCCCGAATTTTTTTCTACTGTCGTTGCTAGCTCTTCCACGCATTTCTGCCTGTCGGAAACGGAAAAGAGGGAGGCCAAAGAATACACTGTTTCGAGAATTGGAGCAGATGTCAAAGGGATGCATAGCAACTGGAAAGTATAGCCCAGGACAGAGTTCGATGGAAAATGTTGGTGTGCAGCAGCCTATGCTGATTCTCCACGAGGGGTAACAGATGTAAGTAGTTATTTTAGTAAATATTTGACGTTAGCTGATGAAATTACAACTTTCTACCATGAACTCATGGGTTTTAATGAAAAATAATTGATATCTGTATGAAGTGTTTTATATTTATGTACTAGTTTTGAGAACTTTCTTTCATGAAACGTTCATCAAAGCTGATTTCCACGTCAAAAAAATCATCCAACAATGGGTAGTCATGCTATTTTTGCATTTAGAACTTATATCAATCAGTTAGCTGAAACGTAAGATCAGGCACACATCAAAAGAAAGATATGGTAGTAAATAATAAATTTGTGTATTACAATATCAAAAATTTCAGCAGTAATCAAGTTTATTTAATGATCTGTCATGTATGTATGTATTTCTAATGGATGAGTAGAAGTCTAGTAATTATAAACAAATGATCATAAAGAAAAATACGTAATCAAAATAGTTCATATGATAAGAGACAGATATCAACTGTTCCATTTTTGAACGCTTTAATCATATAAAAATTAAATAAAACTATGTTGAAACAAACATTCATCTCAGTGTAGAAAGGAATTTATAACACCGGATCAAAACGTACGCCTAAACTTTCTACACCACATTCATCTGTACCACGACGTATTCGAAAGTAACCTTGTTCACCCCATTCAGCACCCCAACTATTTTTTACTTTCCAATATGGTTCACCGGATAACTTATCCACACCATAACCAACCAATAAAACAGCATGATTAGTCAATTCGAATGGATTGAAATTGTACTGGTCGTTCTAGAAGTAAAAAAAATAAAATGTACCATCAGTCAAGGATTTGATGGTGAACAAGGGGTTATCCTCCTCATCTGCCCTTACCTTAGGATAATTCTTCTTGAGGAAACTATATAAGTAGTAGTTGCAGCAACCTGAGAGTGTGACCTCAGAGCCCGAGGGACAGCTGCTTGAGGCTGGTCACACATGGCCTTTCTGTAAGCCAGTTTTTTTAAATTTTTTTTAGCTCCGAGCTTTAAAGCAATCTTATCTTCAAAGATGAAAATCTATGGGGTAAAGCGAGATGTAAAATTTCTAGGGCTAACCTTTTCTAGCCCTTTCCTTCCGTTATGAGAAGGTAGTATCGCTTCTGATCCCAATTGCCTGAGGGATACACCTTCCCCCTAGTACAGCCAGGAGTACGAATTGGCCCTCGGACCATGAGTTTGCTGCTTTTCGTCTTGCTGTTCTCCGAGCGACCTGTCTGGTATGGTACAACTTAAAGGACTAATTGTTTCAGACAATATAGCTTGATCGGATCATTACGATAGCCAGACCCAATCACAACGTCAAGATAGCAACTACGATCATAAAGTAAGAGGAATCATTTTCTTCTAGATTTAACAGTCAAATGAACAAGTCTGTGTGCTCGGCTATGAACAGAATCTCCTTATCTATATGAGGTCTAGTAATACCGCTTACATAATAAAATTGAAGTAAGTGAATTGGAGTTCATCGAGTCATCGCCACCATAAATTATTTACTTGAATATTTAGAGCAATAATATCAATAAATTCAAAGCAATAACTAGTATTCCAAATTTGTGGTTTAATCTGTAAACTACACAATTAACGGTGTTAAGCAACGATGAGAACTAAAGGAAAATTCTATTTGTGACCTAACTAATAGTTTTGAATGTAGTTGTAAAAAATTGTTCCAGACACTAAAACTACACTCCAACTTACTAAGGTCAAAATATAAAAAAAAGTTGATATCCAGAAGATATTTTATCGATAATTTAATCTTTACTGATTGGAGACAGACATTAAAATAACGAGTAGCAATCGGAAACAACTGGAAAGGAGAGCCCATGACAGAATTGGTTGTAGAATCTTGGTGAGCGGTCTATGCTCCTCCACAAGGAATAACAGGAGTAATTGAGAAAATTATATTATTATTTCAAATACTTTATCAACTGTATAATGTGAACTTCGAATGTTAGATGAACTGTAGAAGTGATCTACAAAACCAGGCATAACAGAACTAAAAGATGTGGAAATAAACTACTACATTGACTTTCGACTTGAAAAATAACATGAAACTGTACTTAAGATTAGCTAAAGATGACTGATAATACGATAAGAAAATTCTTGGGATAGACAGGTTTCAGCTAACAGTGAAATCCAGTACGTGGGTTACGTTTTATTTGGGACTTCCCAGTTGAATGTGTTTAGGTTCATTTGTTTGTGAATACATTGAGACTTGAACCCAGTATCTTTCACTCCAAAAACCAAGGGGTTATCATCCACTGAGCAGCTGAACTCAGGTAGTCAATATCCTTTTCAAGAAGACGAAACGAGCACTTTGGATCGCACTGCTAGCGAGAATCCACCAACTTGAAAAAAGTTATAATCAAATAGCTACATCGTAGCAGTCACATCAGAATGAATGTATGGCAACTAGGAAGAACTAAAATTTAATCCTAAACATTAACAATCGGATAACTTAAATCTTTAAAAAGTCAAAAAGTCGATCAGTAATACATGTAAAATAATACCAAACAATCGTAAAAATAAATGAAACAATACAAATGTTTTTTTATTTACATTAAATCAGTAATAAAGTGAGAGATTATTTAAAGAAGTTTCTAACAAAAGTACAAAATAAAACAACACTAACTTGAACTGTTGTATGGTGGTAGATGCCTTCTTTATAAAATTGAAAATCATCATATACTTCAAAACCGATAGGGAATGGACCATTAGAAACAAGTTCTAACTGCATCAATTTTTCATTAGTAGCGCCATAATAACCACCGATATAACTATAATCTGTCGTATAGTAACGTGTGCAGTTTTTTGATACATTACACTTTTTAGTATCTTCACCAGTATATGGATCACAACGTTCTGAGACAAAACCAAAATCTTCTCCATATTTTCCAGCAATTAAGAAAGGAAAACCTCCATTACATCCTAAATATTAATAAAAATCAATGAATGAAACCATAAATATAAACAAGCATTTATCACTAGAATAATGTGTTTGAAAGATTGATTAAATATATATATGATATGTTGGGATTGAAAAGAAAAATTACATTCTTTAACTCATTGTGATCTTTGTACTAAATTAATATGGTCTATGATCAGTATGAAATGCAGCAAGTGATTCGTTATAACTATAAGAATTTGTCATTTATGTGACTTCATCCTAATTATTAATCAAAATGGATGTAAAATCAAAATGTAAATGAATATGAATTTTCGACTAGCGTTGTCATCATGTTTTGGGTTTAATAAATCTCCCACTTGTGACAGTCTTTGTGTTCTTACTTTCGTGTCGTGGGAATTGCAGTGGTTCCTCGTTTTACAAATATAAGTGATAAGTGATTCCGACATGACTATTAGCGACGATGAGATATAACAACTGGCGACGCAGTCATAACAGTCGACCATCAGTCATAACAATATGAGTTAAACATCAGTTCGATTTTAGACTTCCTTACGCCTGTTACTCCTTGTGGAGGAGCATAGGCCAATCACCAGCATTCTCCATCCAACCCTGTCCTAAACAATACTTTCCAGCTCCTTCCAGTTGTTATTCATCCTTTTCATATCTGATTCTATTTCCCGACGTAATGTGTTCTTTCGCCTTCATCTTCTTCGCTTATCTTCAGGATTCCAAGTTAGAGCTTGTCTCGTGATGCAGTTTGATTTTCCTAATTTATGTCCTATCCACTTCCATCGTCTTTTCTGAATTTCCTCTTCAACTAGTGTTATAACTCTGTTTCTTACGGTTAATGACCCAGCTATTCCTATTGCTTAGTATTCTCGGACACCGATTCACTCGACAAGTCCCCAAATCAAAACACGGTTGAACAGGAAAAAGATTATATTCCAAATAGCAAATCAGAAGCATAATAGGGAAAAACGTCAGTATATTTATAGTTTTTTACATAAGAAGATTCCAGAATATTCTCCGACTATCGACTGGTGCTGATTGGATAAGAATCAGCCAATCAGCGTGCAGCAAAGCAATCATGCATTGAGCATGCTTTAATCTAGTCTATGTCCCGCTAACACCTCCCCTCTGAGCAGATTCGTAGGATCTGGTGCTAGGGTCCAACTGCAACCGAGTGACTGGCCTGTGCTTTCGATTAGTCCATCGTCTAGGCAATAAAGAAGTATCACTCTTTTCTTGCACAGAAACTGATGTGTCTATTCCCGGCGTTTTGATTTCAAAGGTGTCTAGCAGAACATCAAGAGGTAATCGATATTGAATCTTGTTGCTGGCTATCGAGGTTGCTTTCAATTGGTTAGCATGACGTACCCAAACTTCCGAGCCAACTGACACCTCGTAAACCACACTCCCCTTCTTTTTCAAGATCCGACCAGCTGTCCATATAGGATGTTTCCCACGATAGTCCATAGCAAGCACTTTTGTCCCACAGTGAACAATCGTCTTTGTGCCCCCTGATGTCGGTTAAACTGTTTCTCCATCGATAGGTTTCGTTGGGGTTCAATAGCTGGCGTAGGACGGATGACATCGAAATGTGTACGTATCTTTCTGCCAAGTAGAGCTTCTGCTGGAGAGAGCCCGTTAATTGTCTGAGGGTTCGGTGTAGAACGATAAATAAACAGGAACCTCTCTAAGATATCTTCAGTGGTCCCTTCCCCTTTGGATTTTTTTAGAGCATTTTTAAATGTACTCACAAAGCGTTCCACTTGGCCATTTGATTGGGGATGGTATGGAGGTGTTCGGATGTGCTGGATTCCGTTCTGCCGACAAAATTGTGAGAAGATTTCGGACGTAAACTGTGTTCCGTTGTCACTAACTATCAATTCCGGGATTCCAAAACGACTGAATAGTTGACGTAGTTTACTGACTGTGCAGCTTGCAGTCGGGTGTTCCATGAGAAAAATTTCTGGCCACTTGCTATATGCATCAACCACCAAAAGGTAAGTTTGTCCATGAAGTGGACCAGCAAAGTCCAAATGTATACGCTGCCACGGTGACTGTGGTATTGGCCATGATTGCAGCTCTGCTTTTCGCGGTGCTTTTGTTGCTAATGCACATTTGGTACACGAACGGGATAGCTTCTCCAGTTGGGTGTCTAAATGCGGCCAGTATACATAACTTCGTGCTAGTGCTTTCATGCGATTTATTCCAGGATGTCCTGCATGCAATTGTTCAAGCACTGCTGGTTGTAGCTTCTTGGGAATTATGACACGTTCGGCAAACAGCAGACAGTCATCGATGATTGAAAGAGAGAGTCTTCGCTGGTAAAACTGTTGAAGGTCTGTGGAATAGATTTTCGAGGGCCACCCTTCTAGGTGGAACTTTCTAACTTCTTGTAGTGTTGGGTCTCGAAGCGTTTCTTCCCTGACTTCATCTGACGACACTGGAGTGTTTCGAATGGCATCTGCCACTATACTTCGTATTTCTGGGTCTACTGCTGTGGAGGCAATGATTATATCCTCTGGTCCAGGATGTTGAACTCCAATTAATCGGGAGAGAGCGTCAGCTTGACCGATAGTATTTGTTGACTGATACTTGATATTAAAATCATAACTCAGGAGCATTGTTGCCCAGCGCTGTAGTCTATTAGCCGTATAGACAGGGATTCCTTTCTTAGAACCAAAGATTGCAATCAAAGGTTTGTGATCTGTCAGTAGAGTAAATGTACGACCATAGAGCATTTTATGAAATCTTTTGACTGCGAAAATGATTGCAAGAGCTTGATGAATATTAAGCATTTAAATTGGTCATCAGTCAACGAGCGTAACTTGAAACGTTCACATTCTCTGTTGACGATGTCTGCTAGAACACCATATTCATCGGCTTCGCGTTTCACCAAATTTAGACACCGATATCGAATACTAAACAACGAGGATGACTCGCCGAATATCTCTGACAACTGAAATACCGTCTCCTCGAAACTGAGCTCTCGAGGTAACTTTGGCAATATATGGTCAGCAAAACGCGCATGTTCACTGCTTCCCAACTTACGTACCAACAATCGGGTCTTCCACGCATCGTCTTGGTTACAGAATTCTGTTCTAAATGTATCTTCCCAACGTTTGAACCACGTGAGAAAAGTATTTCCACCTTCATGATCATAGATGAATTCTGGGATGCTGCTAGCAACTGCATCACAAGACGTACTTGAAATAGCATGTGAATTCGAGCAGTGGATGTTAAGCTGTTGAGTCAGAGTCTCCAACAACCGCATTTGTGCATCAAGTTGTGCTTGCTGTTGTTGTAGTATTCGGTTAAGCTGGTCATCTGATATGGGCATCTTGAATTTGTTTTCCTTTTTCCCCGTCGCCACTGTTATAACTCTGTTTCTTACGGTTAATGACCCAGCTATTCCTATTGCTTAGTATTCTCGGACACCGATTCACTCGACAAGTCCCCAAATCAAAACACGGTTGAACAGGAAAAAGATTATATTCCAAATAGCAAATCAGAAGCATAATAGGGAAAAACGTCAGTATATTTATAGTTTTTTACATAAGAAGATTCCAGAATATTCTCCGACTATCGACTGGTGCTGATTGGATAAGAATCAGCCAATCAGCGTGCAGCAAAGCAATCATGCATTGAGCATGCTTTAATCTAGTCTATGTCCCGCTAACACCTCCCCTCTGAGCAGATTCGTAGGATCTGGTGCTAGGGTTCAACTGCAACCGAGTGACTGGCCTGTGCTTTCGATTAGTCCATCGTCTAGGCAATAAAGAAGTATCACTCTTTTCTTGCACAGAAACTGATGTGTCTATTCCCGGCGTTTTGATTTCAAAGGTGTCTAGCAGAACATCAAGAGGTAATCGATATTGAATCTTGTTGCTGGCTATCGAGGTTGCTTTCAATTGGTTAGCATGACGTACCCAAACTTCCGAGCCAACTGACACCTCGTAAACCACACTCCCCTTCTTTTTCAAGATCCGACCAGCTGTCCATATAGGATGTTTCCCACGATAGTCCATAGCAAGCACTTTTGTCCCACAGTGAACAATCGTCTTTGTGCCCCCTGATGTCGGTTAAACTGTTTCTCCATCGATAGGTTTCGTTGGGGTTCAATAGCTGGCGTAGGACGGATGACATCGAAATGTGTACGTATCTTTCTGCCAAGTAGAGCTTCTGCTGGAGAGAGCCCGTTAATTGTCTGAGGGTTCGGTGTAGAACGATAAATAAACAGGAACCTCTCTAAGATATCTTCAGTGGTCCCTTCCCCTTTGGATTTTTTTAGAGCATTTTTAAATGTACTCACAAAGCGTTCCACTTGGCCATTTGATTGGGGATGGTATGGAGGTGTTCGGATGTGCTGGATTCCGTTCTGCCGACAAAATTGTGAGAAGATTTCGGACGTAAACTGTGTTCCGTTGTCACTAACTATCAATTCCGGGATTCCAAAACGACTGAATAGTTGACGTAGTTTACTGACTGTGCAGCTTGCAGTCGGGTGTTCCATGAGAAAAATTTCTGGCCACTTGCTATATGCATCAACCACCAAAAGGTAAGTTTGTCCATGAAGTGGACCAGCAAAGTCCAAATGTATACGCTGCCACGGTGACTGTGGTATTGGCCATGATTGCAGCTCTGCTTTTCGCGGTGCTTTTGTTGCTAATGCACATTTGGTACACGAACGGGATAGCTTCTCCAGTTGGGTGTCTAAATGCGGCCAGTATACATAACTTCGTGCTAGTGCTTTCATGCGATTTATTCCAGGATGTCCTGCATGCAATTGTTCAAGCACTGCTGGTTGTAGCTTCTTGGGAATTATGACACGTTCGGCAAACAGCAGACAGTCATCGATGATTGAAAGAGAGAGTCTTCGCTGGTAAAACTGTTGAAGGTCTGTGGAATAGATTTTCGAGGGCCACCCTTCTAGGTGGAACTTTCTAACTTCTTGTAGTGTTGGGTCTCGAAGCGTTTCTTCCCTGACTTCATCTGACGACACTGGAGTGTTTCGAATGGCATCTGCCACTATACTTCGTATTTCTGGGTCTACTGCTGTGGAGGCAATGATTATATCCTCTGGTCCAGGATGTTGAACTCCAATTAATCGGGAGAGAGCGTCAGCTTGACCGATAGTATTTGTTGACTGATACTTGATATTAAAATCATAACTCAGGAGCATTGTTGCCCAGCGCTGTAGTCTATTAGCCGTATAGACAGGGATTCCTTTCTTAGAACCAAAGATTGCAATCAAAGGTTTGTGATCTGTCAGTAGAGTAAATGTACGACCATAGAGCATTTTATGAAATCTTTTGACTGCGAAAATGATTGCAAGAGCTTCGTACCAACAATCGGGTCTTCCACGCATCGTCTTGGTTACAGAATTCTGTTCTAAATGTATCTTCCCAACGTTTGAACCACGTGAGAAAAGTATTTCCACTTTCGGGATCATAGATGAATTCTGAGATGCTGCTAGCAACTGCATCACAAGACGTACTTGAAATAGCATGTGAATTCGAGCAGTGGATGTTAAGCTGTTGAGTCAGAGTCTCCAACAACCGCATTTGTGCATCAAGTTGTGCTTGCTGTTGTTGTAGTATTCGGTTAAGCTGGTCATCTGATAGGGCATTGAATTTGTTTTCCTTTTTCCCCGTCGCCACTGTTATAACTCTGTTTCTTACGGTTAATGACCCAGCTATTCCTATTGCTTAGTATTCTCGGACACCGATTCACTCGACAAGTCCCCAAATCAAAACACGGTTGAACAGGAAAAAGATTATATTCCAAATAGCAAATCAGAAGCATAATAGGGAAAAACGTCAGTATATTTATAGTTTTTTACATAAGAAGATTCCAGAATATTCTCCGACTATCGACTGGTGCTGATTGGATAAGAATCAGCCAATCAGCGTGCAGCAAAGCAATCATGCATTGAGCATGCTTTAATCTAGTCTATGTCCCGCTAACAACTAGAAGCTGGTTTGTTCTCTCCCACAGAAGGCTGTTGCTGATGGTATCGGGCCAATGGATGTTGAGTATCTTGCGTAGACAACTATTTATAAATACTTGTACCTTCTTGATGATGGTTGTAGTAGTTCTCCAAGTTTCGGCTCCGTACAGTAGAACTGTCTTGACGTCCGTACTGAAGATCCTGATTTTGATAGTAAGTGACAGTTGCTTTGAGTTCGATTTTAGACTAGTTAGATGCATATCTGCTTCATAATGAGTGATAAACGTGAATTGGACGAATATTGTTCTGATATGAAACACCAGCTACAGTAGAATTATGCTACATGTCTGATGAAATATTAGGATCGATTTGAAAAGCTCCGATAGCTTCGGAGAGCTGCATTACTTGTGATATACGTGAGATGTTTGTCTCCCAGACAAAGTACGAGTTTACTACTAAACAATTCCCTTTGTTCTACTTTATAGGTGTGAAACATGACCATTAATTACAAAGGATACTCGCAGGTTACTTGTATTTGATCATAGGTATATTTGAAGCATCGCCCGAGATGTAGGATAAATATGGTAATTCGATTAATGAGGTAGTGATTTCACCAAATGAGGTGATCGAGATATGTATTAAGTATCCCCAAACACCGCCTACCTGGACGGACGATACTGTCTGGTGTGGTCTATGATTTAAACAAAACCAGTGAGTGAAAACTATGGGTAACACCACAGTTATTACAATAGCGAGAACTCACACATATATTTTATCTTTCTTCAAATCCTGAATATTTGACTGTTCTGCATTTGATCTGATTTCATACTCAGATTATTTCTAATATCCTTAGATTTCGCTTGATTTTCGTTTTATGCGTCCTCGTGGAGTGTGACAAACAGCGCCAATCAACTTTGAGTGAGATTGTATGTTATGTATCTCTGTTTAATTAGTACGATGGGCATGAGATAAGCCTAACAGTCAAATCTTAGTTTATTGGCGAGTGAGTAGCCACCAATCGCTCATAATGCTTAATCACATTTAGTTTTATATCCAATATTTTGTATTTAGGGATATCATTTTACCGGAGAAAAACGTCTATTCCGCTGGATAGTAGTTTTGCCGCTGATCTCATCCAATTCCACAGCCTATGTTAATAGTTTGTTCTTGTGGAGAGTTTTCACTCCACCACATCGTATCAAAATGTATCATTGATTAATCGACACTTCTATTCACAACACTATCGCCTACAGGTTTATGATGTGAAAAACTATTGTAACATACTGTGATAGTGAACAAAATATTCGATTCTGAAAAAAAGATAGTTGAGAAAACAACTTGATTTCAGTAATCAAGCGAAAAGGAAAACGAAGTTTTCTTGTGATAACTATCAAGTACTAATACCCGGGTTTTCGGATTTAGTTGAAACTGTATATTGTCATAGAGTGTATAGAAAAGACAGAATAGTTTTCAAGGCATCCTAGAAGTGTTGCGTGAGCGACAAATACTTTGGGCTAATAGGTGAATTTAGAAGAATTTATACAAAGAATCACTATTCTTTACATCATTCAGAAAGACTAATAAGTATATGTATGAACAGCAAACAACCATAAAATTCAACATATTACGAACAAGTACATCAAATAACAGGTAATTAAAATACCTTCAGAGTAGGGGCTACAATCAACCACAGCTTGAGGAGACAAGATAGGTTGCTCCGAAAAATTACTAACCAAACGAATACGAGCTTCGAGTGCAGCAGCAGAGGCGAACGCATAACAACTTCCACATACACCTTGGTTACGAATCGGTGTAACAGGACTTCTAGAACCGTCTGGTGGACTGGTCCAGTCAAATTCCAAAGGAAGATTTTTAGTTAATGAAATTAGTTCTTTTGATGGAGTTTTCCTATTTAGCACTGAAGGTCTGAAAAAGGGAGAAAGTTTATGTGATGGTAGGATAAGGGTACTTCCCAATTAAAAATATTGAGATTTTTAAGATATCGAATGACATACAGAATAAACCAGTTTACGTTTTTTTTAGCAAGAATGGAGTTCCTTAGATTCCATACAAGTTAAAGAATTAGTGAATACATATATATGTAGATAGTACGTTGTTGACAAGTTCTGACAAACACGAAGCCCTAGTCCAATTTTCTGTAGAGCATGTAGTACAGTCAGACGAGTGAACTGATTTTTTTATTCCTGCTAAAGTATTGAAGAGAAATTTTCTAGATCTGCCCTCTGTTAAGTAACGTGAAATTGCACTCGCCTTATGGACAGCCAAATCTTATACTGTTCTGTGGAATTAATAATAACAGAAATTTTAAGTTTTGAAGGATTACAATAAACAACCACGAAATGAAGAACAACAAAACCAAATCGTGGTATCAGTTCATGAAGTCATTGGCTGTTGGTCTTAGATACGTTGGTAAACTCAGACTAAATGGTTGGGATCAGCGTGATAACTACGACTGGTGGTTCGATACAGCCAGTCAGTAACAACGTAGAACTTCGTACGTACGTACATCAGTTCGGGTCGCCATACCACATTAGCACAGAGATGCAGTTGTCGATTCGAATCCCATAGTGGTAGAGGTGGTAAGAGTTTAAGCAGTAATCGGAAACATTAGAGTTTTAAGATGCTATTCAAAGAGTATAATACAGTGAAATAAATTTGGAAAGAGGGAAAAAGGGATATGAAGAACTCAGAAGACTATAATTTGGGAGAACACAACATTCCCAAAGTTAAGTCTCGCTATTATTGCTATTCCATAATTGCGATCTTTTTTGCCATTTTCATTCGGTCTTACTGATGTAATATAGAGAATTTGTCCAACGGAAACTTGAGCCGGGCCCCCATGTTTGTATCTGTTTGCCTATATATATTGATTCGTCAAGAGAACAGTCACTGAAACATTCGAAATAGTTACCTTTGAGAGGTGACTTCCACCTGTTCTAATCACATTAAAAAATTAAATTACTTAGATATTATCTATGTATCATTTTAATTTGGTTAAAATTAGAAAGCTAAGACTTGATTACAATTTTTATAGAAATCAGTCTAAATCGGTGACCAAATTTTGTGAACGATATAGAACGAAAAAAGTAAGTTTAAAGCAATAAAATTAATGAAGTCAGTCCTTTGATATTCTTAAATGAATTTTATTGTGGCGGGCAACGAACCAGCATTCTATATTCTTCAGTTGCTTATTGTATCTAATTATTTGTATATATATTATTTTATCAGACAAAAATCTTACTCTATCGAAAAGCTGTATTATCCTCTAATAAATCCATCCAGGAGTTTCGATCAGTAGTTCTATGGAAAATAATAGTAAACATTAAAATTCCCAGCAACTTTCAATAAAACAAAAAGTTCCCATTAGTAAGTGAAAGAAAATTCATTATCACTGGATTTTTAGTTTCTAAACAATAATGATAAGTTTCCGAACTTTCAATGCATCTGAAAATAACTCATGTTTAGTAACAATCAATTTATAAATATTGATCGTTGTAACTGATTAGCTTAAATGTACTTTTAAGCCCATTGGAAAAATTATCAACAAAGCTTTGTTACGAAACTGAACTTCATACTCTAGTTAGTGGAGTAAAAAAATAGAATAGTAGTCTTGTTTACACTATTGACGATGGAGTTATAAAATATCATCTTAGTAAACGAACGTATCAGTTTATGGTATAAAATGTTTACATGTTGTTTCTCACAACAAAATACAAAGTCTACTGTATAAAAAATAAATAAAGTTTTACCTAGTAACCATAGACTTTACACCACCAGCTCGATTTCTAAGTTCATCTATTGTATACTTTGATAATTCTGGATAAATTTCCGCTCGCCAAGATTTTTGATGTTCATTTATTTTGTCGACAAAAGAGGGGTTAATGTGGTAGAGATTTCGACCAAAACTTTTCGAAGCAAATACTTTATTAGTCTGAAACCTGAAATAGTATGGATATACATTATAATCAAAACAATAGATAAATAAAAGTATTTGAAACCAAGAGTCAGTCAGTCAAGTCCATATTTTCACAAATCTGCTTCAAAGTTTACATACTAATTGCCATGAAAAACGTTTTCACGGTTTGTTGTTGTGTACGTGAAAAAAGGTATAAAAACGACAAAATGCTGTCTTTTTAGCTTTCTAGACAATAAAAAGCTCTTTGATGCAACAACTCTACCACCACATATAACTCCTAATTTTCTCACAAGACATTTGTAAGGAAAAAGTGGTCTTATTACAAACAGTTTCATAATTCTTATCTCTAGTTAATGGTTCTTTAGATTCCAGAATAAAGTGAATATGTACTAGGGAATCGAACCAATACATTAGTGTGTAAGAGCCAATTTGATTACTTATCAACAGTATTAACATGACCAGCATATTTGAGAAACAGAGCCATATAAACCTATTTTTGAATGTCACTGGCACTCACCACTTAGAAATCGTAAGGATATGTTCTGAATTTTTATCAGTTTTTAGAAAGCCCCCGAAACAGCTCTTGTTTTGCGGATTGTTATTATCAACGACTGAGGTTGCTAGGCTAAACAATATTCCTCGATTTATGTGAAGGCCAGGATACTGCCCGAGTGCCCAAACAGAAGCAGGCGGTTCCCTTAGGGGGCCACACCCGAAGCCTTTGACCTAGAGGTCTGATCTAAAAGACAATGGGGCAACGTAAGGAAATGAAGCCCCATGGCAGTCGGTGGTCAACGATTGGTTCATACGCCATTGGTTTCCTTAGGACTCTGAAGCCCATGTGCACCATAGATTTGGAGCCAGGGTTTTCCAATCCCCCAGGTGGATCCTCCATACCCACCAACCCGGTTTAGACGCCGGACACTCACTTGTCGTCCTCTCATTTTCGTAAACGCCACCACGAGAAACCAGTGAGTAGGACTTTCCTAACAGTGGCTATATAGGTGTGGCCATGTGAGAGCGTTTCGAGAGGGAGAGCGGATTGTCCCCACCCTCGGCCGTCCCAGGGCATTTGGGGGCTACATTGGTTATAACTAACCAACTACGCCATGTTGCTGATCGTTTATTTCTTGGTTTTATTAAAAATACGTCTAACCATTATAATTAAGCTATCGTATGGTTATTGATAATTGTTTTTTTGTTAAGTCTCGATTATCTTTATTTATTTGCGTTTATTGTCAATCTTGTCAAGCTCGTCCAGTAGCGGCAGTAAATTGTTCACTGGCATTTGTCCTTTAATAGGTTGGGGGATTAAAGTCAAATTTATGAAATCATCAAGAGATTAATTCTCTACTTAAAATTAAGCAAACGATATTTTTTGTAAACAGACCATGATCAATATGAAAACCACCAGTACGAAAAGTAACGCTTAACTGTTAAATAAGGAAAATTATTTGGGAACAGCCTACTTGTCATTCGCTCCAATCTTTTCGGCTACAAAACACTTCCACTGTCGAATTAAAGTATCATGTGTCCACATTGGCATAGATTTATGGCAATTAAATTCTCCAGTTGATTTGTAAGCGAATATAACCAGCCATTTGCGATGATTTATTGTTACTTCAAACCCCTAAACAAAATGCACAAAGTTCATTTCTGAGCATACTTGATTATAGATTAGAGTCCAATGTCCTCGGTTTCCAGATGCATCAATAGCAATATCCGGGTATAAGAGACTGATAACGACAGACTGTTTCGAATTCACTAAAAGGAATTGGAAAAGCTATCAAAACATGACTTACAGTTCTCAGGACATTTAGATTTATAATCACCGATATGAAACATCCATCGACCATGTGCATCTTCATAAGTACAGTTAGCAGGAGTATCGGCACTTGTAAACCGCAAACATGCCACTATTATTAAAGTGCAGTGGAACATCCAACTCATTTCAAAGAATCTGTTGCAGTAAGGTACACCGATTACAGTATATTTATTATGTATTTAGGTAAATTTTACGAAATGTCAATTCACATAAAAAGCAGTAAGAGCAGAAACAAAACACCCCAGATACTTCATAGAACTTTGCTTTAAAACGGAACAAATACCTGTGTATTATAGTATAGACCAACAGTACACTAGTTTATTTATTAAATGTATTGTTTAGTGAACAGATACTGTATAGCCACTTAATGCTTACAGTTATCCAAGTTTGAGACTATAAATCTGAGGTCCCAATGTTCATTTGCAAGTGCAAAAGATATGGAATCCTCTCCTAGAAGATACATTGACGTTACCTTCAGTTGGCTAGCCCAAAAGAAGACACAACATTGACTTTAGATGTAATGGTACTGATGGAGACTATGTGTTTTCCTATACCACTTTAATTAACCAATGTTTTATTATTCCAGACTCATCAAGGGAGAAAAATGAGCTAAAATTCTTTTTGATAAAGCGAGATCTTTTAAAACAGAGACCCCATATAACTAACACCTTACTATCCTTGCTCAGTAAAGTTTGAATTGAGAGGGGAAGTAAAGTATAAGGACGACCTTAAACTACTTTCTAGCCAATGAAAAAAGTCCATAGCAAAGAAACGATTTATGATAACAAAGCAATATAACAATAGTTGATAAAATTTTAATACAGATAATGAATGTTACTGTATGACATATTGACGCTTTTAGCCCGTCAAATTGAATGCAAGAATGTACTTTGGTTGGTGCATCCATATATGTTACTTTTGCTAAACTGAGTATTGTATACTTGCTTTAAGAAAGTTTTGTAATAATAAAATACATACCTCAACCTCGAAAAAATGTATAGGGGGCGAACGTTATAACCACACAGGAGTGTGGTGCAACGGACTGGTTAGTAAATACTAGCTCATCAACTGAAGTCATGGTCCACATTTAAAGGTACGTTTAGCTCAGCTAAGTGCCCGCCTATACTACACTTAGTATCACGTAGACCTAATAACTATCCACCATGGATAACTAAACAAGCCAAGAGATTTCTTAGACATACGTTAAATCATTTGAGTGTGTTTATATATACGGTTTCTGAACAGCATAAATCCATTTCTTGTCACCTTAAGATCCTTGTGCGACCGAACCACGGATACAGACACTTCCCCTATGCTGTGTCTATTTATCCTTGCATCTCCAAAATGCATGCGGACACATTCGGCCGCACTGATAGGCATCAGTCATCTTTTAGACCAGCTAACCAGAAAATTTAAGTTCACCTGAAGTCCACATGCATTTGTTTCTCCTGTTATTTTCTCTCCAAACACTGATCCATAATCTTTAAACCACGGCCCATTACCGCGAAGTCTCAGCTAAGGGTTTCAGAACCCTATGGGTTTTAAGACGGATATTTATCAAGTTATATTCTAATATGTCTATTATAGTATTCACAACCTTGGTGAGATTCAAACTTAAAATGTGTTCAGGATGCGCGTCTTTATTTAAACGGTGACTCGGATATCTTGGAAGAAGTACAGAGGGCAACTACCCGTGCCATTCCAGAACTCCCGGTTATAACATATAAAAAGTGGTTTCAGAAGCTAGACCTCTTTGCTCTGTCCTAACGCATATTAATAGGTGATCTGATTTCAATGTATAAAATACTAATAAATGACTTCGGAATTGGTACATCTTCTCTTTTTCCTATTTTCAGATCAGGACAACTCAGGGGACATACCAGGCAGGTACAAAAACTAAGAACGGACAAAGTACTCGTGGCATACAGGTTTTTACACTGAGTCATCAATTCTTGGGACCTGTTACCCTAAGAAGTAGTGTCCGCTCCTTTAATCCTCGGGTTGAAGAGAAAGTTAGGTACTCAGAAGCTCACTATAAAAGGGCTAACATAGGCTGTAAGCATTCTGACCTCAATACACGAGTCTGATTTTGCGATAATTCACCATTGTAAGTCGGTAGGTCAAACTCATGGTGATTGCCGTCACGGGAATAAAATGTGGTTGCAGTCTTTAGCCAAGATAATCCAGTAATTAAGAACGATTAATCATGATGTGTAACAAGGTGGAATGGTTTCAAACAATGAGAAGGTTGAAGTTAGAATAAGGAATGCTCTTTATTGGAATCGAAAATACATCAATAGAGAGTAATGTGTTCAGCAACGCTGATAACTATATATTTTGTTGTCTGTTATTTTACCATTATTATTATTCTCATTTTTCCATGTCAGCCTATTGGGCCATAATTTACAATTCTGAGTTAGCATGTTGTGAGATATCTTAGTAGAATTATGAATCTAAAGTACAAATGGAAACATGAATCTCAGTAGCCAGTGTAGAACAACCTCAGTATCACTTACTGGTTGCTTCGTTCTCAATCACGAAGGCTTAAGTCGAACAAGATGTCCTTCCTCACAAAATTAGGTAGGTTAATGTTATCGCTCTCACCATCAGTGCTTGCTGTTCGCTAACTCCACCACCGTCCTTTCGTGATGTTATGCTTTTTAGAGGTTACTTTTAGGTAAAATATTATATTCCACACGACGCTCGATGTTTCACATCCTCATGGAAAACACTATTTCTATAAGTGCCATTTTAGGCCTTATCAGGCGGTTATCAATTATGGACTGTGGGTAGGGCATCGATACAATGCTTTAAGTGACTATAGTATACATTTCGGGCTTTCAAACAAAGTGTAAACATTAAGAATGGCATAACGCAGGACAAGCGTTTGCCGAAGTAGATGAAGAAACGTGGGAATATGATCATTAAAGATATAGCATTGGGTTATGGGATGAAATTAATGGTAAGTCAACAAAGTGTACGCGAAAGCAGTAAACCGATAGAAAATTAGCAAGGAGGAACTCGCATTATATATCGGTCAGTACAAGAAGACGTCTTCAAAGACATTGTACTCGATTCCACAACTTAAATGACTTTTCCTCTTTAGTAACGATGACAGAAATACTTGTCCGAACAGAGGCAATAAGTAAACAAAAAGAAGTAGCACAGGAAAAACGTGCAGTTGAACTTAATAATAACTCCTCTGCACTCACCATACTACTCCAAAATAAACTTAAACGTTCTAAATCCAGAGGGAGTATATTCATTAAAGGCAAACAAGTATACGAAGATCCCAAACTTATCACAGAATTATTTAGTGAACATTTTTGTTTCTCACTAACGAAAAACCATTTAATGAGTCAGAACTAATCCCAGTAACTCCCTGTGAAATTACTAATGTAGAATTCAGTGTACAAAATATCTCCAAGGCAATCAGTACATTGAAACACTCCTACACTGATGGACCAGATGGTATTCCATCTAGCATGCTAAAACGTGGAGGTGATGATATGTGTGTTTTGCTTCTCAAACTATTCACGATATCACTCTCTTCAGTGTGTGACCCTACTGCCCGGAAAACTACACATATCATTCCCAAAATTAAAACAGGACCTGAAGCAAACGTTGAAAATTACCGGCCTATAAACATAACTTCAGTGGTATCCAGAGTGATGGAAAAAGTAGTTAAGGCGGCTGTAGTCCAACATCTACTTACTAATAATCTCATCTCGACCTCCCAGCATGGATTTCTTGGGTCCAGATCATGCGATACATGCCTAGTAGACTACCTGAATGATATAACTCTGAAACGAGACAGCGGACTCCTTGTATCAGTCCTATTCCTAGACTTTAAGAAAGCCTTTGATAAGATCCCACACAAAAGGCTACTCGTCAAACTAAAGTCCTTCGGAATACACAACCCACTGTACTCATGGTTTGCTTCGTTCTTAACAGAACGTAAACAGATGGTAAAGGACGATGACTGTCTCTCGTCCCCTAGACCAATCACCAGTGGAGTCATCCAGGGAAGCGTATTAAGTCCACTTTTGTTTCTTATGTATATAAACGATATATGTAACACCATAGAATTTGGGAAGCCATACTTATATGCTGATGATCTCAAAATAGTATACAGCTATAAGCCTGAGACACTAAGCGAAAGTGTATCCCAGATCCAAAAGGACCTCAATAACTTAACTATATGGAGTGAAAAATGTCAATTACCATTTAACCTCAACATATGCGGCATCATGCACTTTGGAAAGCATCCCTATAAACCGCGACTTCACTTAAATGAATGTAGAGTCCAAACACTCGAATCAGTACACGGTTTAGGAATTAATTACACAGGAAGCCTGAACTTTGAAGAACATGCCTCCTCTATTATTTCTAAATCTAGACGGCTAATTGGTTTTATAATGAAAAACTTTTTCACAACGGAAGGTAAACTTACTCCCTACAAAATATGTGTACGACCCTCCCTTGAATACTTCTCTTTTGTCTTCTCTAATATGAATATCACAGACAAGATAACAGTAGAAAATATGTAGTGGCATTGGACCATAACCACACAATCTTCAAAGCTGAACACAACGCTACTCGGAAAATAGATATTCAATATTTAACGCGGAGAAATACCTAACGATGGAAAAGGCGGGAACAGAAAATTGAATGAATTGGAGTTGATCGGATGGCATGGCTCGACCATGCAGGCGTGGTCCATCTGAATGTTACCTTATATCTTCTATTCATATTAAATATATTGTTCCTTCTCTAGCCTAACCTTGTTCTACATCATGTATTGGTAATTGATACGATACAGTGAGTTGGTGTAGTCGATGGTGTGACTTCCACGTAAGACCTTATAGATTAGGCAGTTATATCATGACAAATCTACAATTTTAGGATTAGGTCTATTGTTAGAGCAGTACTAATATCATAGTAGACTATAGTTCCGCAGATATTCAAAGACGTTTCACGCGCCAACTGCTGGGATGTAACTCGAATCTCGATTACACAGATAGATGTAAGCACCTCTCTTTAGAAACCTTATGGCGCCGTAGGCTAAAGAACAATCTAATATTTCTCTACAAAGCGATATATGGGCTCTCCTTTCTAACCTCCTGCCCGACTATGACCCGCGGCCCAGCCTATAGACTTAGAAACAACGCATATACACTACTCACCGTAAAACACCAAAAACAAATGCTTTGTAAGCTTTTTACAGTATGGTATAGTTTATTGTGGAACAGGCTACCAATGCCTATCCGCAACTGTGATACGTTTACCAGATTCAAAAATCTAATAACCCTATTTCTAGACTCCAAAGAGCTTCAATATTTCCTTGGACTCCCGCCCACCAATGGGGCACTTTATTACGGACCGCCTAGTGTCTAGAAAGAACAAGATTATAACAAGTTCGACTGTTACTAATACGAATATAACCAAATCACAGAATATATGGCTTATCCTTTCCTATTATTCATTGTTTATTAATCATGACCTTATGCTCCTAACCCTAGCTTTCAGTTCCCAAATCTCTACAGGTTAAATGTACATTATTCTTCCTAAAAGTCATGCCTTTTTTTCTACTGCAAGTAGACAGATAGCTCAATCTTATGGATGCTGATCTACTAAGGCCGATCATACAAAGCTCAAAATTTGGCCACAAAGTCTTGTGAGTTTCTCAATGTTTTATCTGTCTTGCCCTGAAATCTTCTTTTTCTACAATTTTATACCCTCTCACATCTTTTGATTTGCTATTAGTCCTTACTTCTTTAAACCATTAGTTATCTTCATAGCATAATACAAATGCTTTAACCATGTGATTTGCTTGTAACATGGAACTAACCGAGACAGTGTATTCCAACTATGAACTTTGATTAATGCAGTATTCATACATACCACAAACGTAAGAGAGCCTAACATCACAAAAGGAGTGAGGGTGGCGTTACTGATCAGCAAACATGATGGTGGGGAGATAAATTCAATCCACCCATGTCTGTAGGGCAGAACATTTTGTTTAATTACGGCTCCTTATGGTCTAGTGAGATGTCACCAACTTATGGTATTGATGCTGATTTATCACGCAAAATACCTCTTTAAATCGTGTTACGAACGTTAAATTGGTTTCACTTCCTACTCAGAAATCCTATTACAAGCAAACCAGACAATTCCCTAATATATGAAGCCTACTCAATACCCTATAATACCTGAAAAAAATAATAATACAAAGAAGACGAAAGGGGCTCTAATAGCTTCGATAATAAAAGGAAGATGGCCAATTGTATATCACAATACTGTTTCTAGCACTATATTTTATTTTATAATCACACATAATCCTATACTCTCAGCCCCTTTCCGAATCGCCTCCATTTGTCAATTGTATGTCCACTCACACCTTGTTAACACTTATTTTCTTCAACCTATTAAAATGCTCTTTCTTAACAAATACCTTAATAAAAGAAAATTAGACTGAGTAATCATACCTTAAACATTCCTTCATGAATATTGGCTACTTTGCTTCTCGTCCTTTCTTTTACTTGCCCCCTCTTTCAGCCCCCTTGTGATATGAAACGAAAGAATTCATCCTGCACCATCCTCAAAGCCTTAGACATTCCAAAGGGACATAAGGTTGCGACATTTAGAAGCTCTCACCTTCAATGGACCTATCCTTGACCATCAGTCGCACTTTAGCAACGCAACTTTCATGAAGCGCGCCAACTGTGGTACTGATTAAAACCATCTACATTCATATCTTATAAATTATCAATCCAGCTATGTAATTTACCACAGTGGATATTGTATCATTTGTATCAATTTGATCTTGCCTGTAAACTGGCATGCCTCATGTAACAAACTGTTATTTGAGAATAAATTATTATTATTAATTTGGTGTTTATGGTATGTTGTACAATCTGAACTGTGAGTCCTGGACCACTGGTAGAAAATATGAAATTGTCAGGTTCA